GATGCTCGATGATAGTGATGATGATGATAATGGTGATCATGATGATGATGATGATAATGATGCTCGATGATAGTGATGATGATGATAATGGTGATGATGATAATGATGGTGATGATGATGATAATGGTGATCATGATGATGATGATGATAATGATGCTCGATGATAGTGATGATGATGATAATGGTGATCATGTTGATGATGATGGTGATGGTGGCTTGAGGACTAATTGCTAATTATTTACTGCCAAACTCTATACCATTTTCTATTTTTCTTAGGTTTACCATCCCAATATTGACCTGGAAGGAAACATCTGTTTAAATATTTTAAGGTAAGCTGTCCAGGAAACATTAATAGCCCACTTCCGAGAAATGCTTCCCTTGTCATGCACAAAGGTTTCAGTATGAGGCTACGTGCTAAATGCTCAGTCATTCGTGACAGGCGGTAAGAATTAATTTAATTTAGCACCTAGCTTCATACTGAAACCTTTGTGCGTGACAAGCGAAGCATATCTCGGAGGTGGGCTATTGTCATGACGTAAATCTTTTTATCCTGCTTTTAGGGGATAAAATATATATATACATGTGTAGTGAATCAGTATCAGTATCAGTGTCATTCCGCTATTTCCAACTATAAGTTGATCAGCAGGGACTATATAGTCTACACAGAGCCAAAGTTCTGATGTAGTAGTCCTTTTAGAACTTTTCTGTCTTGTGTAGATTTCTTAGCTTGGTGTTTATCAACATTAAGAAGTTGACTAATTTTGATCCATGGATCTCTARCATATTTAGCAGATGGAATTGCAAACAGCAACTGTTTCGTTAAATTTGAATTTGGTCTTCTACAAACATGTGCAATGTACTTCAAGTAGCGTATGTATGTAAAATCACGAAGTGCCAGGGTTCCCACTATTCTCTCCAGGTCTAAGTTCCTATATTTAAAGGCAAACGTTTCTTCTCCGTCACTATTCATTTTCCTTTCCCAGCCATTCCGTACCAAATAAAATAAATAAATGGGATTACTCCAGAGTGGCTCTTCCACTGGTTTCAAATTCAAATTCAGAAATTGATTTTAGTGGATGGAGGAGAAATGGGAGAAAAACATTTTAAGCACAGGAGAGAACCAACAAGCAACTCTTACTAGTCATACATGACAGTAATGATAAAAGGGTAAATTTTACACTGTGAAAAGATGAAAAAACTTACTGATGTTTCGGATGCTAGTCCTTCRTTGGAGTGAAAGAGGGAGTCATAAACGATGGTGATTCCAAACATTGAAATTGTTCACCTTCATGAGAGATGAGCGCTCTCACCACTATGCCGCTTATGTGTACTGGCATTTGAGAATATGTACATACCTCTCTGTCCCTTGAGTGAGTGCAAAACAATGGCTAGACTTCATAAATGAATGCAGCAAATGCATAAGCTTGAATTTATTAACTGTTTTGCATTCACTCTTGTGAATTCGAAAAATATATATTGCTGAAAGTCATAAAAAATTATATTGCTGAGGCAAAGCTTCAAAAGATACAGCAAATTTCATGCTTCATTCAACAGCCTTCTTAAGTTAATGCAGTCATAGCTAACTTATTCTGATTGATTGTTAATAGAGAAGACTGGAAACCTGTGTTGACCATTAACTCCATAATCTACGGATTACAATATCTTTTCTTGGTAAGTATCTATGAATGAAGGGATGGATTGATAGATGGGTGGGTGGGTGGATTGATGAGTGAATTG